GGAGGATGGCTCCAGAAAGCAGCTTCGTTATCACAGAACTGTCCTGGCTTATGGAGAGCCTCCACACATTTTTCCGAACGCTTTCAGCCTGGCGACTGCGGCTGATTTCTGAACCTTTACTGACACTATGTGGAAGAGATGGGAACAACAAGTGCTTCGCTTTTTAAAGCACTGCTGAAGTCGGAGAAAAGTAAAGGGAAGTGTCCCCAGTGAGAGGAAGGATTTGGGGCAGTCTAACAGCCATTAGAAAAACAGCTGCTCCTTGCGAAACCTGGCCTGCCTGTTTGCACTTGCAGGAATAGCTGTAACTCTGAGTGGTTTCCTAAAAAAACCCCAAAAATATGAAAAATAATACAATACATTGGACAGATAATTAGGTTCCATTAGCAGTAGGGAAAATCATGCACAGCAGAAGCATGTTTCATAATGGCTTTTTTACATTTCTCTCCTTTCTAATCCTCTTTTCTTCAACACCACTTTCCCCACTTTCTTTCTCAGTCTCATTTATGACATCAAAGGCTGCATAAAAGCTTTGCATATAATGTTAAATTGAAGTTTTATTAAATTACTTTTCTATTACAGAGATTTTTTTTTGGTGGAGATCTAAAGAGCTTAGTTTGGGCCATTTTCCTGTACTCCAACTAAACAGTCATCCTATTAACACCATGGTATCTCCCAAGCATTTTAGGAAGACTTCTCTTGGCCTCATCTCCTATTTTATTATTTTGAAGTGCTTTTTGGTAAAATACACTCCCAATTGAGAATCTACTACATTTCTTATCCTTTCTTCTGTTCTTTGAGATAAGTGGAAATTCACAGCTCTGTGCTATTTCTGTTTGGGTAGGCAGATGGCATTTCACCTCCATGGAACTTTCTTTACCTAGCATGTTACTTGAGTGTTTCTATGTTGAGCCGAGTGCCTCTCTGTAAAACTGCCTGAGATGAAAATGTGTAATTAAAGGAGTACAACTGGAGAGTATATGAAATTATTTTGTTCTGATACTTAACTAGCTGCATAATATTCAGTGGTATAGTCAAACAACTTTTCATTCCTATAAAATAGCAGGTTTTGAGCACAGGTTAGAGAATCTTTCTTGATGAGCTGCTAGAACACTAGCAATGAAGCTATTGTCCAAGACTATTGAGTAACCTTGGACTGTAGTAAACTCAGAAAGAGCGAGACTGGAAGGAATGTATTCAACTAACTTTATGTAATTTAGAACTTATTTATGACTTTTTATCATTCTGTCCTATTCAAATAACTCGTAGCAGATCCTCACAGCTTTTTAGCCTTGCACTGAAGGAAAATATTACCAATGTTCGTGGCAGGTGGAAAACAGTATTGCAAACAGCAGAGGGCAGTGAGGGCAGAGAAAGCTGACTTGGTTTTAAAATACTTCCTCTTTTTTTCACAAGCTCTGTCTTTTTTTTTTTTTTTTTCCAATACATTCATGGAATGAGTTTCTGGGATATTTAATTATTATGGTAATATGTAAATTATTATGGTAATATGTAAAACTGATTAAGGTGCTCTTATGCTATGTGCCACAAAAAGAATGGAAATATGCTGTGAAGAAGAGAAGAGGTCAAAAGGAGAAATACACATAAGCATAAGCATAAGCAGAGAAATATAAAGAAACAAATTAGCTTGCATTTCTATACTTGCTAGCTATTGGGCTTTTTCACCTTTCAGGTGCCTATACCCACAGATTACAATTCAATGCAATTCAGGGGTAGTTTCTGTACCTTGGCTTTCCTGAATACCCTGCTATACTGCTACACCCTGAGTAGCAAGAGGCATGGTCTTTCATGTTACTCTGAGGAACAGCAAGCACTGAAGTTCATCTGGATGAATTACATCTGTGTTAAGCCAGTGGGATCTGGAAGGTTTAGTACATGGCAGGGAATTAGGAGTCCAAGTTTCTCATTCTGTGTCTGATTTACTGTAGGGCCTTTAACAACTTCTGCTCTGCACTTCACTTTCTTTGTGTCAGAGATGAAAATGGTAGCAAGTCTTAGATTTCTGGGGTATCACAAGGTTTCAGTTGCTCATACAGTCTGCATGAACTCAACATGTAGAATGCTATGAATTGATTTCTGATATAGCTGGCTGCCAGTGAGATTGACCTCATATTTGTCAATTTAATGGATTTGTTTTACCAGAAATAATGTTTATGTTCAGGTCTTTTTCACATGGACCAGCAGAGGAATGGGAATAGGCCTGGTCAAAGACCAAACATATCTGCTTAAACCTTGCACCTTTAGGCATTGACATCCATGGCTGTAAATGATGTACTTGTCTGAATGGGTAGAACATAGGACTGTTGAAACCATAATATGAGAAAAAAGTAGGCAAACTCTGAACTTTTAAACAACTTTTTAATTAATTCTTGACTGTTGATAAAAAAAAATAAAGGACCACACTTTCAACATGAATTGTACTTAAGACAAGGAACCAGCTATAAGTAAATGTCCAGATCATCAAATGTTTAGTGTTAAATATTAAAATTATTGAAAGTGAAAATGGGTTTTGCATTTTTTCCCCAGCATTGCATTTCCAACTGCAAACAACATTCCAGAGGGGCAGCAATTCCCTGTTAGGTGCTGCCTCTGTACTATCAGGCTTTAACTGTGGCAACCCCATGCACAAATGACAGTGATAAAGCTCTTATTTGTTATGTTGTAATTATAATGCAATGCTGTAGAAATATTTCCTTTGGTAGGTACTGTAAATCTTCCAAATGAGAAGAAAATACAATCAATATGATATTTTCTTTAAGCCTTTCATTTATAAGCCTTGCCTTTTAGGGGTCTGAGGCCAAAACTAAGAAAACCTGAAATCCTGTATTCAGGAAGAAAACAGGAGAAGAAATTTATACTGTATTCTTTTCAAAACCAGTGCAAGAACAATGAAGAACTTTGTAGAGAGGTTTTCATTTGCATTTATGACAGCATGATACAGATATAGAAAAATTAAATTTATATGAGCTACAGAATCCAGAGCTACCTCTGCAACACATTAAAATATATGAAGAGCATATGTTGCATCACAACAGAGGTTTTCAATGAACCTTGGAAACCCATATCTTAAGGTAGTTAATAAAATCACCTGGTCTTAGAGAAACTGAAGGCCACCTAGCCTCTCCCTTTCTCTGTGTCCTTGTCTAAGTATCTAAACATAGCCCTCATGAAGAAGTACTGCAATCTCAGCTCCTGCCACTACACTGGTAATATCTTGAAAGCGTATTCTGCCAGTTTTGGTCACTGTACTCTCACCAGAAAGGTTCAGTTCAGTCTGAAAGTGTCCAGAGAGCAGCAACAAGGATGGTTGCAGAAGTTCTTGAAGTAACTGAGAGTAAAAGATAAAGAGCTCTGAAGTTTTGAGGAAATATATAACAAAAATTCTTACATATGTGAAGCATTGCTGCAGGAAAAAAACTCTTCCTCATTCCTGCCTATCTGCAGAAAAAAAATGTATATAAAGAGCAGCAAAATAAAAGTAGATTTTAGATTTTTTGTTGTTGTTGTTTTGTAGGGAAGATAGTTAAACTGTGCAACACATGTAAGAGATGTGTGAGATCTTAAAATACAACATATTTTCAAACGTAAACTCGAAAACAGTTGTATGGTTGTAATCTTGCTGTAGTTCTGTTGCTCTGCAGACATAAAACAAGATTTGTGGAGTGAAGTGGTATATTTTATGAGATCAAGAGATACAGCTGGAAGATAGACAGAAGCTTTCAGACACGTCATCCTTCTTAGGATTTAAAGAAGCATCTGATCTCAAAAGCTTATGTGCCTTAAAGTCTGTGTCTTTTCTTCCCCAGCTGTTTTAGCAAGTTTAATGACTATAAGAGAGTGGCTTAACTCTGGCAGGTTCCATTTTGGATTTGGGCAATGTCTTGAGGATCTTTTTAGCTCAATTTTTTAACATTTTCTGACCTGTTTAGTATACCTAAATTAAGCATTGTGCTATATCCTGACAGATTAGGAGACTGAATATTCATCTAGATGTGCGTGATGGATGAATAATTGTTTGCAGCGAAGACCTTTTGATGTACAATGAATTGTATTCTTGTCTTACAAAAAGTATTGTGGTGCTTATGGGAAAATTTTGTGCATCAGATTTTAAAGATCTTTGGGTGAATGAATTTAAAAATCTAAACAATTCCAAAGCTTTTGATTGCACCAGTCACTCAGGGTTTGACTTCCAAAATTATTTTAAAAGTTTATTTTCTGATACTTTCTTAGGTTTAATTCATTTAATTCATTTTTAATCCAGCAGTTTATGAATTTAGTGAAGTGGTTTTAAAGATTGATTTGCCTAATTTCTAAAAGTCTTTCAGATTGAAAAAGAGTGACATAAAATATACAAAACAAGTTTTAATGGTACATCTCATAAAGTGTCTGCTATGTGCTGCTTTTGATCGTCATCAAAAATGTAACATTTAATACAGCAAAAATTACTTTTATTAATTCAAATCACAGCTACCCAAAAAATTGTTACAGATTCTCTGCAGATGCAATAGATATATTAAACCCATAAAAATATTTTATAAAATTATATTTGTACAGCTTACAAGATTCTGTGTTGTAGTAATTTGATTTAAGCATCATGCTATCACAAGAAAAGAGGTAAACTTTTAAAGGTGTAGATGTGTATTGCTGTAGACTAGAGCCAATGACTTGAAAGAGAAATGAAGAAAGTTGTATAAGTAGTTAGTAAAGATTAACTACCAGAGAAGTAAGATGCTTTGTATATTGGATTATTTCCCATACTGCAGTCTGTGGAAAACTCTTTGTGTATCAAGACTCTACATGTACCCTCTTGTTTCCACTCTGAAAGAAAACACACAGTTCTTGCACTGAACCACATATTCAGATATTCTGTGTTAAACAAAGGACACAAACATTTCCTTAATTCCACAAAGTCAAATGTTTTCCTCTTAAAACATTTCCTCAGTCATTTCCATCTCACTAACTTGTCTTTCCAAACTCAGTTTGCCTTGCAGTGTGGAAGAACCATCACATGCGGACTGTTACCAACTACTTCATAGTGAATCTTTCTCTGGCTGACATTCTGGTCACAATTACTTGTCTTCCAGCAACTTTAGTTGTGGACATCACAGAAACATGGTTCTTTGGGCAGACCCTCTGTAAAGTGATTCCCTACTTACAGGTATTATTTTTCTGTTTGTGTACTCGTTACCCATGTTATGAAAACCAGAAATGACAATAGTATCTTCCTAATACTTCTAATCCAATGGAAGTCCATACCTGATACTGAGTAAGTATCTCAGAGTACATGCTGAAGCCTAAAAGACTGTTCCACTTGGGAATATGATTATGCATAATAAAGACTGGTTTTCATCCATCTGGATTGTTGGACTTCGGCAATACATCCTTTGGGACATTTTTCTGATGCTCTTTACTTTTTGTGATCTTTATTAATGATTCAGAAGGGATGTAAAGGAATTTAAATATCTGTAAATAGAAATAAAGTCATTAATATTCTCTCTGGATGGATCTGAACAGCTACACAAGTGTCCAGGACAGAGAATCCAACTTCTAAAGGCAGTATGGGCTTTTTTTGGGTTTACTGAATTTGTGTCAAAGTATACAGGTTCCCTGGGACTTGGTCGGATTGTCTGCCTTAAGCAATAATTGCTTCTCATTTACCCATGGACTCAACTAGTTTTGAAATCATTTGCATCAAAATGATTGATAAATACATTTTCTAAGAATAGGTGTATGGATGAACTGGGTAAACTAGAATGACAAGTGTTTGGCTTTTTAGTCATTAAAATTCAGAATGATTAAGCAGTACTCAGAGTGTATGCAGATCATCAGCTCTGTGCCTCCAGCACAATTTATATTTCAGAAGATACCTCTATGGCCAAAGAATCATATTGTCAAAGGCAAAGTTCTCCAGAAGCTATGAGCTCTACTTGATACAATAAAAATCACAACTTTTTTTTCAAAACCTCCATTCTAGTGAAAGAAAATCTGAAGAGTGAGTGATCACCAAGCATACAAATTGAAACAATAAAACTAAAGTGATAGGTTATTTTCTTTGCTGAATAAAAGGTAAAATACCTTAGTCTACCTTAAGCTGATTGTTGTCAAGGACCTTTTCATGAGATCCTGAGTTTCATTGTTCTTGTAAAAATAAAAAGCAACTTGTTTGCTCTGGTATGCTAATATAATATAGAAACCAACAAATAATTT